AAGTCTTGGATGTGGCGTATCGGATAGCAATCAGGTATTGTACGCGCGTTTAGCATGCGGTAATCGCCACATGGTCTCCATCCGTTGTCCTTTTTTGGAGCAAGGTGTAACGGTGATGCCCATGGACTCTCTGACGGCCTAGCGATGCCATTTCGTATCATGGACTCGAACTCTTGTTTAGCGATTCTTAGCTTGTCAGGAGCCAGACGTCGAGGGTTGCAGGAAACTGGTGGTCCAGGTGTTGTCCGTATATGGTGCACGGTGTTATGATTAACTGTACGCGGAGCTCCAGAAGGTCGAGTTATATCTGGATATTCCTTTAAGATTTCGTGATAGTTCGTCTTCACCAATATTGTGCGAATCGAAGAAATGACGTCAGACCGGGCTGGTGTTGCAGATGTTTGTAATGTGGTTGTATTGTCCACAAGACGTTTGTGTCGGCAGTTAACAGATAAGTTGTAGAAACTTAGAAAGTCAACGCCTATTATGGCTTTGGAAACATCGGCTACTACAAATTTCCATGTATAGTTGCGGCGAAGTCCAAGGTCCAATTCCAAATGTTTATATCCGTAAGTATTGATTAGTGTCCCGTTTGCAGCGTAGAGTTGATAATTGGTTCTTTGTCTTCGTTCTTTAATTGCAGTCCGTGGAAAAACACAGAGGTCGCTTCCTGTATCTACGAGAAACTGTGTTTTGGTTTTTCGGTCCGTGATGAACAGGCGACCAGAACCAGGGCAATCGTGAGTCGCCATTACCGACTGCCCGGGGCGTTTCCCGAATAGAAATCGCAGGGTTTCACGCATTTCTTCGCTTTTGTGCCGAATTTTGCATGGTACCAACAGTTGGGATATTTCTTGTGAGAAGAATGTGATCTGCTAGTGCTACGGCTTCTTTTTTCTCTTCTATATGTGGGCCTTGATCGTATTGTGTCTCGAGTTGATAAAGCGTGGACTTGCTTGGTGAGTTGTGCTATCATTTTGGCCATTTGGTCGATAGTATTCTGTGTGGTAGCAGAAGTACTNTCGACTTTCTTGAGATCCTATAAAATACGTTTTAATTATTATTTTTGTATGTTTTAAGCATGATAAATTATGAAATTTTATATAATCAATCATATTAAATCGATATCAAAGTCAATAAATAATGTACAACCCAAAACAGACGGCCGAACTGACGTGACAATGACATTTGGCGCGCTAAACATGGCGGATTTTCGGCCTCCTTAGAGGAGACGGAGATATTTACGTATATTCATGTTTCATTTTATGTACGCACTGAAATACTGTTATATTGTTTTCCTGCGAGTTAAAGTGCTGAGTAAGAACGAGATAGATATATGTTTATGTATGTGCCTTCAAAATGGGTGCTATTTATATAAGCGATTGTACGTATAGAACAATATGTCGTGTCCCTACTATATAGGTCTATGGGCACGAATTTTTTGTTGACGTTTCATTTCCATAGGTTTCCTACTTCAGTGGGTTACTAGGTACCGAAAAATGGGGTGATTAGGGATTGAGAGGTGAATGGGGAAAAAACCAGGAAAATTTTTCGTCACGCAATATTATAGCTTTTTAATCGTTGCAAAATCTTCCATTTTTTGTAATGTAATAATAGAATGTTGAAAGTTCACAAAACAACTCTGAATATGCATGATAATAGCTGCTAACTTATAAAAATCGCATTTAAAATTAACTTCTTGTGGTGGTAATTATTTTAGTGCTAGAAACTTTGCTCTCTTTTATTTATTTGATAATAATAAAAGACGACTGTGATTTATAAATGTATTTAGTGTTTGAACCATTATATATATTAAAGGTAAGTCTTAGTTGTTATTGGTTTTAATGTATTTGATAAAATAAAAATAATGTAAAAATTTGTTGTTTTTGGGGATATTGGGGACGTCTCAGGTACAAATAACAATGAAAAAGGGGTCAATTGGGATGAGAATAAGTGAAATGGAAACGACCTAAGTATAAATGAGTACAGGATTGTAAGGTTGTCTATGTAGTTACAACAATATTTTTTAAATTTGTTGGTAAGAATCTGGTTTATTCATGATGTTTTTGTCTAGAACTTTTATTCAAAATTATCAATGCAGTGTTATTTTATTGTTTGGAAAATATTTATATTATCAGTTACGTGTTGTTTTCTATTAGATATGCCTCGCGTTTACGTATCAAAGAGTCCAAATCCTTATAAGAGATATGATCCCTTAATATTAAAAACAGTAATAGAAGCCTATGAAATTAGGAATAAGTATTTAGTTGAAATAGCTAAGCAATTTAACATAAGTAAGTCGCTTTTGCACAGACATGTTACAAGAACAATGAAATCTCAAGGTGGACAAAAATGTCTAAGTAATACATAATAAAATATATTAATATTTGTTCAGAGTGGGGGTATCCACCTGATCAATCCATGGAATAACAGATACACTTAATCTCTTAACCCAGATAAAAATATCAGCCCCTGAGTACTTACTAAGAACGAAGAAATATAAACCGCTTATAAGAAAGCCCACTCGTTCGAATTTAGGTGCTTACTCTCCCTTAAACAGAATCGTTTGCGACTACAATAATGTCCACGGTAGCGCGGTCTCCGTCAATGTTCATTCGGACTTGTCCGATTGCGCTGAACTAACTTTAAGTGATGAAATAGATGTTTTTTCTAATTGTGTCACAGCTTACAGAAAAAAATGTCGCAGATAATTTCCCAAGTAAATATAAATTACTCATAAGTAATTAAATGTAATTAAGTTTTGGTTATATATTTTTTATTTATGTTGTCAATGCACTGTCGATTGCACCTATAATTGAGGTGACATGTGCCATGTACATTTGTCAGTTTTTCAATGTTTTTCATTGATGATCTCTTTGTTGGTGCAACTAAATAAATAAGTTAATTAAAACCAAGGAGTGCCAGCCCTAGCAAATTTCTCTATTAACACTAATTTCGTCTCCAATAACCACAATTTCTGGGTAACTAGGGATAGCACCTATTTTTGCTTAAACTGGAATGCTAAAGCTTTAAATTGGATACCAAAGACGCCCCCAAGACTCATCATCAAGATCATTTTGATCCTGACTCATCATCAAGATCATTTTGATCCTGATATAGCATTTTAAACATCAACAACTACCTATAATTATTCATCAAGTTGGAATTTGTCCCGAATCACCCCGTTTTACCGGTATACAAAGTTTAAAAAATTACTAGTCTTCCTTAAAAGCGCCTTGTTAATCACTGGAAACAATTAACAAGCGATTAAAGAAAATCATATTGGAGTGAGGACTCATCTACCCTCGAATATATTAAGTGTATGATCTATACCAGATGGGATAGGTAGGGAAAAAAGCGAACTGATATTTTTTGCGCAGAGCTCATAGATTATTATGCAGGCCACTCACATGCGCGCAAATATTCGTACATTGTACAAATGTTTGCGCGCATGTGAAAGGCCGTCAAACATTCATTCGCAAACTTAGCAGCTGTGCAAATGGGTTCGGTACTCAATTTGCGAAACCGTTTGCGCTTCCTCCTACACTTGTTTACGAATGTCTCACGAATTTCTCCTCCTTTTTAATTCGTCAATAGAACATTGAAGAGAAAAAGAGTTTTGAATTCTTTCCCAGACGTCATTAACAGCCATGGTGTTTTTATGGGATTTCTTTTGATGAAGATACGCTACACAGTAGACGTCACGAACTATGAAAATGACGATACGTCAGTTACCTTCGCAATCGTCGGCGCAACTGGGCAAACGAGTGTGTGGGAGACTACGCGAAGGATCGCGGTTCGCGCCCTTTGATGTCTGTTAAAAAACCGACACAGCTTGGAAAACCACGAATGCAGCGAAAACTGCATAATCATTTGCAAATGTCGTCCTACACTTGCGGGTTTGCGTATTCGTGCGCATGTGAGCGACCGGTGTTATACACTTGCATAGCTAGGTACTATTATAATACCGGAAGAAAGTACCTATTAAATTTTTCTTATAAGATCAACCAGTGGGTATGACTCTTAGCTGATAATTAAAAGTGAAAATCATGGTGTCAATTACATAGTTACATCCATAAATCCAGGACTTTCATTTTTATGAAATTTCAAAGGAATACGGACATAATCATCTGTTTGCGACCAATCCGTAATTAAATTGATCTAGGCTAAGTCATCCAGTCAGGAATAATACAAAAAGGAATTTGATAGTAAATTAAATCACATTATCTACTCCTCAAACGTACCTACCTTCTCGTACGATCAATTTGAAAGTGCCGAAAGATCGTATGATGAAAATTGGGAACGTGGCATGTACAATTCGTCTGAACAAGAGCTAATAAACCTACAGGATTGTTCAATTGAGTAGGAATCTGATTACGAGTCAGTCAACTTTATTTTGAATTACGTGTAATAAAAACTGTCGACTTACAAATTCGTTTTATTCTAAAATGACAACCATTATCTCTAAAAAAAAACAGATATTAAGTTAAAATTTAGACCATTCGATGGCTTCATTTCAACATTGTTCGATCCGTAGTAAATACACTTAGTTTCGATTATCGGTTTTTCCATTAATATCCCAAATTTAGAAATTTAATGTCAGTCTTTTATGCGAATGTCACTTCATCTTCATTCATTTAATCATCATTCTGCATATCTACTTAGATTCACGAAAATGTAGTTTCTAGATGTGTCGGGGTACTCAGAGAAAAATGGAATAAGGCGAATTAACACTATCTAGACAGTCTCAATATATTTTTTTACCGTCTCATGAGATTTAAAATTCACTCTTTTGATGAGTTATCTTTTGTGTATTACAAGTGTAATGCAAAATAATCTTTTCAATCAGCGTCGCGATTACGAAAGTTACTTAATTAAAAGATGGGAATCGAATGAAAGTAACAAATACAGATATGAATTACTACTTTGAAAGCTTTAACGTTGACTACGCGGGGTACTATTGTTCCTTTAACGTTTTTCTCACTCCAATAAAACATTGATTAAAATTTTCACATCAGTTTTAATTACAATTACTATTTAAATGATGCTTCAAGCATAGTAAATAATAATATGACAACATTAATACGAGTGCTAAATTAACAAAATGTGTTGTATCGCAAGAAGACGTTTGTTCATCACGATTCTGTGGCGGGTATACCCCGTATATCGCGGTTTATAAATAGATCCCTTTAGCACAACGGAAACAAAGAAATGAGAAAGATTCCTATAAAATAATAATAATAATCATAATAATAGTGGTGTATTGTTGAGTTTCACACTCAATTCATAATAATATTACTCCTACTCGAAAAGAAATCAAATACATGATAAATTTGCAAGAAAACAAAACACGACAAAGAGGCAGCACCTGTTTTATTGTAAAATTGAGGAAATGGAACTTTCGGATTCCAATGATTTTTAATTAATCAGCTTCATCTATATTTGTAAAAAAACTCATCGTGAATTTACACCAATTAGTATAAAATGGTTGCAAATATGAGAGCCCCAGTCTTTAATGTTGCAACTGCACAGATTTAAAAACAACCTTTTGTCGATGATATAATTTTATCGAATATCAGGTCACTACAGTAAAGACTGGGGCAGACCTCGAAGCTGCGTGAGCATGTAACAAACCCTAATTAATATACACATATGATAAACCACACCGCACTATGATTAGTCGAGTTCTATATCACATAGCACAATGTAAACGATCGTCTCGGTGCCACGTACAGTTCCGTCGTGCGTCAGTCACTCGATAAATTTACACTTTACACTCTGGTCACTTGCAGAACGGACACAAAATATTTCACACGTCTATACGAGTGTTATTCAGATGCAGCGTCGTCGGCGTCTTCAAGGAAGCTAAACTTGTTGGATGCAACGAAATTCTGAAAATGAAATTTGATTAATGAACAACAAAAATAATGAGGAAAATAATAGTAAATTTATTTACTACATAAGCTCTTGATCATGACCTAGAATACTATTACATATTTAACAAATTGAGAGATGACGCTGATGGCATAGCTTGTATCGTGAGGACCAAAATAAGATTTACTATGTATATAAATGACCTCAAAACGACATCACTATTATTAATAATTATTACCTTCAAAAACATATGGTACAAGATTTCACATACCGTAGATTGGGGAGAATAGGGGATTAGAGGTAAAATAGGGACAAGCCTTGGATGTCACAATGCTTTTGTGAGATTTAAATTTGTTGAATAGAAAATTACTTATTTAGTGTTTAAGAATATTAAATAGTTTAATTTAGTCAAGGTGAATCAGGTCAAGCTAGTTTTTTAAGTTCTTGTGTATATTTTTTAATGAACTATGTTTAATCATGGTTCATGTATGGAAAATTTAAACCTCCGGAAACATTTTAATCTCAATTTTATTGGTATTACCCTAAAAAAAACTGAAAATTTCTGTTGGAATTGGAAAGCGTCCGGATTTCCCAATCTACTCTGTATTTGACAACTGACAAAATGAAAGTCATTTCAAGCGAATACATACGGGTTTTTCTTGTTCTTTTAATTTGGGCAGTGGTTTCTCGTCAGTGTCGTCGCGTCGATCACGTGAACGACTGGGTCGTCCGTTTCTTTCTTGATCGCGCTCTACGGAATCTCTCCTGCGCGCTGGCGAGGCGGGCGAGGGGTCCCGTCGGTCGGGGGTGTAGTCTCTGCGTTCTCTCTCGTCTTTGGGATCGCGCCGATCTCTACTGTCCCTGTTGTAGTCGCGCCTGTCTCTATCGTCCCTGTAGTCCCTTTTTTCTCGGTCGTCGCGCCGATCCTTGTCGTCCTTAGAATAATCTCGTCGCTCCCTGTTGAAGCTTCGCGAATCTCTGCCGCGATCGTCTAAGGAAAATGTAACATCAATTACCTTTTCTAATAACCTATATAATAAATTGTTTTAACGTTTCTTCTTTTCTTCTTTTTAAATGACATGAAATTTTTAGACATTTTTATTAATATTTCAACAAATAGTACTGTTTTTTTTTATTATTATTATTGTATTCCATTTTCGAGCCGATGAATTGCCAATGCTATGTACGCCATTGTTCTCACATGCATCAGGCCATAAATTAAATAGTTTAAATTTATTTTCAATGTTAGATGTTTGTGATGTGGCAGTACTTATTTAAATAAATAAATAACCTTGTTTCATATATCCAAATGATGTAAAGAAACTGTTCTTCAAATCAAAAGGGTATTTTCAGAGTAGTCAACGGTAATTAATGAACATCGGGCCATGGAGGGAAATTTTGACTGCTTTTATGTAGTTAGTAGTTGGAAGTATGTAGTTGGTTTCAGTGCACAACAAAAATGTGATTCTCAAACCAAATGAATACTTGGATAAAATTCGCAAGTTATTTGATGAAACAAATAATATTTTCGACTTGGACGAGTATAGCTTTTTTTTTTCCTATTTAAGCTGAGAGCCTTGAGAGACTATTTCAGCGTAACCTTAACCTAAACCTGACGCCGTTGCTAACACGTACCCTAGCAAGAGCCGTGCTTCGCAGAATCGACCACCGGAAATATTAAGCGATTATAAAAAATATGATGGTCACATACAAGTAACGAAAAAAGTTTTACATAGTAAAATCTGGAAAAACCCCATACAGAAAATGATATAGTTAAGGGGCATTCAATTTAAATTGATCCCAGAACTGATGAAAACCAATGATCCCTTACTACGTCATCCACAGCTTACGGACCACAAAGAGTGTTCTGGAATATGAGTTGAAGAATGAAAAAAGGTTTATGCAAATTTAGTCAAATTTAGGAATGAATATCAAGGAACTCTGTGACGTTTAAGATGATAATACATATTGAATAGTATTAAAAAATAAGAGTTTTCGTGTCGTATAATATCGATTTTAATCAAATCAGAAATAAATTTCAGAGTTTAGACAGTGAATTATATTGTTATAAGTTAAATATCAACTCTAACGATAGTTATTACAAAATTGAACTGACAAAATTAACGTATTCGTAACGGTGGAAATAATAACCGCGAGATTAAATTGTAAAAATTGTTTGGCGTCTATGACTCGCAAAAGCCTAAGATAAGTTGTTTTAGTTTAAAATATGCTATAATATTATAAATCAGTATATATTCGAGATAATGACTAGAAGTGAAGAACAACACGTGACCAATTAGTAAAATATCTCTCTTCAAGGCCAGATGTAAAGTGTTGTTTTACTTTGACACTCAAATATGTTACATGATATCAAAGTTAAAATAATTTTAAATTGAAACAAGCTGAAAACCAAATTTATTGGCTAAGCCAAGTCTAATAATTACTTATTGTTTTACGAAAAGGCGATTTAAAACGAAGGCAATTCCCTCGTGTTACACAGAGAGCTCAATCCTAGCGTTGGCTGATTTTTATAATTTTAATTTTGGCATTTACATTTCAAATTTTATGAGCTCCAATAACCACTTAATGATGGAACGTGAGTTCATTCACCCATCTATGCAATAAATAAAAACGTATTATGGTCGGGACCACTACCAGCACCAATATGTTTACTCGTCATTTTCGTGAAAAATGTAAGTATACCTACTTCTAATAAAAAGTAATTAAAGTGTATTTGTAAATTGATACTGACCTCTTCTAGCACCTCCACGACGATCTCCAGAGTGATCATTCTGTTCGACAATAAATTATGTTAGTAGAAGTTAAATTATAAGAAACGTTTGATTGTTATTATTTTAAAGTACGTACTCTACGTCCCCCCCAACGTTCTTTTTCTTCAGCAACGCGTCTGGCTTCTTCTTCCTGTTTTCGTAGACGCTCTTCAATTTCTCTTTCCCTGTAGGAATTTATTAATTTTAGTTCATTTAATTGTTCTTTTTTTTTCTTCCTAGTTATGCTGACGGCCACGAGAGGCTGTATCAGCGTTACCGAAGGAGTAAGTGAGCTCAGTGGGCTCGAACCTGGCGAAGTTGCCAACATTGACACTGGCAAGAGCAGTGCTTCGCAGAATCTACCACCGGATCGGAAACGCGACCCAGAGAAACTCAGTGGGCTGTCTGTGGGTTACTTTACTCGCTGAGCTCTTCGTCGCAAGCGACGGATTCGACGAATGCGATGACCGTTACACATAATACCTACTTCACATAAAAACGTGATTTTAATGGAGCTACAGCACAATTGGGTGTAGCCGGTTCGCAAAACAGAAATAACCTTCCTGTTGTGTTTCGACTTATTTACAAAATTCCGTTTAAATATTTCGCTGGAATTAACTAGGTCAAAATGAAATAATTTAACTAAAACGTACACAAATTTTTCATAGAAGTCGTCAAATCATGATGACGCGTGAATCTAGTTTTATGTAATCTAATTGACTGTTGGTGTAAAGCGACCGAGTCTAGCACAAAAAGCACGAGTCGGTGTCTAGATAACCCTTTAATCTTGCACATTTTGTAAATTGTTTAACATAAAACCAAGATCATAGGTATTATCTTGATTTATCTGTCATGTGCTGAATTTTATTTTTCTATAAAACAACATATTCTTACTTAGCAGCAGTGTCAACAGGTTTAGCGCCGCCAAACACTTTTTCAGCAGGCACCGGCTTCGGAGCCTGTTTCTCTTGTTTTTCCTCCAGGGGCGCTCCGTCGGCGGGCTTGGTGGGGGCTTCGGTCTCGCGAGGCACAGTGCGCGGTAACAAATTCAACTTAGGACGTTCACGAGGTTTTGTGTCTGTGAAATATTTTTTTCTTAGATTTTTCAAATCTAATGTAACTTTAGTTACACATACATACAAACATACTCACAAGCATAATAGCCTGCTTAAATGATAGCACCTAATGATCTCTCAACACTAGTCTGCGACATCTGTTCACGACTTAACCTAACCTATCTATCCTAAGAACGAGGGAGCTTGGAGATCAATAATACAGAACAAATACAGATACAGAACAAAATAAACTATAAGGTTAATCTCTATTTGTATTTGTACTATACCCTTTAAGAGAGAAAATAAAAATTATTATAGTTAACAAAAACGAACTGTCATGAATTACCTTCTCTTGGAGGTGGGTCCCGGTCACGATCACGATCGCCAAAACCTCTGCCGCCGAATCCTCTACTATCTCTGCTGCAAGTGATTTCATATAAAATTTACAAAAATTTGAATATGGAGGATGTAAGTCAAGCACAATATAATTCAATAATTTAATTTTACCTGAATCCTCCTTCACGGTCTGGTGCAGCACGGAATCCATCTCGTCCACCATAACCCCGATCTCTACCTCTGGAAATGTTGGAAATCAAATATAAATGTTAACATGAAAATTTTAGATTATTTTTAAAGAGTATTCAAATGTATATCATTTTGTTATTTAAATAACACTTGTTATTAAAAACTACCTGCCAACTTATTCTCAATGAAATATCATTATTAAGAGTATGTTAGAAACATATCATAAATATGGCAAATACGGGTTCACAGCATGTCTTCTCAAAAGGATAAGATGACAGAAATGGTAAAGGCATACATACTATAAATAGCAAATGCAATTTTACACACTATAAAGTTTAACTTTTTATTTCTTGACCTGTCTTCATACACTAGACGTAAAAAAAACCAGTGGTCATACTTTAAAAAATATGGTAGGATTCAAATTGGTTCATTTTTTCAGGATTCGTTCGAGTGATCAAACACAATCGAAATGAGTAATTTTGAATGGTAAATTGTATTATGATTTCATAATTATTTGTTTTTGTAAATAATGTCTTAAAATAAATAGAGTACAATATATACAAAAGGTTATCAAACCTATCCTCTCCATAGCGGTCACGTCCGAAGGAGTCCCTCCCGCCGTAGGGGGCCCGCGCGGGCTCGGGGGCTCGCTCGGCGTCGCGCCAGGCTCCCGGACGGTTATCTGCACTCGCTGTGTAATTTCATAGTTTCTGGTCACTACTACATTACCTCTTGAATGAATGCAATTCTGACTTGGATTTAAGTTTTGTACAGATTCTAACTAGTCAAGTCACTCAGAATATGCGTCAGCACTAGAGCGAGCTGGAGATTAGTCTGAATTGAGTTATGACCGCTGCGTCGTGTCACAAATTGAACTGAAATAGCTGGTCGCAGGGAAACTTCCAAGGGTCAACAGAATCTCGTCTCATCCTTGCTGGACTCCTGGACTTGATAATGCGCCCGCGTTGCTGGGGTCCCCACCACCGCTGTTAGCGGAGCCCCCGCCTAGAGGGTTTGGTATCCGACTGTACCACTGACCTTTACTCAGACCTTCCCGAGACAATTTGAGTAACTAAGATTTTCTATTTCACTGAAAGACTCAAATTCATAGGTGTTTCAAATAAAATATCAGTTTCACAATCTAAATATTTTTTACCGCAGACATCTAACATGAATTAAAAAATCTGTACTCTGTATGTATGTCCCAAGTGTGACATTACAGCTCACTCTTAATGCTGACATTATCATCACTGTGACAGTGACATTTTTTTTTCAAACCCAATAATCATGACAAACAAACATGGTATAATAAAACTGGACTGAATTAATTTAGCTTATTCTTTTTGTTTGTGCTTAGGCAAGGCTATCAAGCCACTATGTGGTGATATAGAGACAACCTATAAGTAACTAACTTCTTGATAGCCTTGCTATTAATTATATATCTTTATTTAAATGTTTTACCTTCATTTCAAACTTTCACATTTAATATGAATCTATTATATATCTGTTACATAATATAAAGAACCTATTTTTATACTAACTACATCAATCCACACTTAAAAGTATGTTAAAGCAATGAACATACTTCAAAAACAACTTTTTAATAGAACCATGATTTTAATAAATGTAAGAGACTCAATGAAATGATAAGGATTAGAGAAGTTAAAAATGTAATGATTTAAGACTCACAGTCTCTTTCGCGATCCCGATCCCGATCTCTTTCTCTGTCATTGGGAGGACGAGGGCGGCCGGGCGCGTCGGGTACAGCGCGGGGTCCGGAGCGCCAGTCACCCATTGTACGCTCAGGGTCATAGTCCCTGGAAGTTACATAATATCACTTCATTGTTGTTTATGAAAATGTGCTATGTGTAGCGCACGTCGTGCGAAATGAAAAGAAAAAGTACAAGGGACTCAAGAGATGTTTGATTAAGAAAGATTGTTAATTTTTGTAAATCAATAACCATAAGCTTAACATTGGTGCTTTTTTTTCAATGCCAGATTAACTAAACCTGACTATGTTTAGTTAATCTGGCATTGAAATAGAATAATAAATAGAAAAAAGCATCGCAATATGTTTATTAAAGCATTTTTCTATGAATTTTATATAATTAGCTGCTTGGAGAAGATCACTACTGGAGACAAGACTACCTTTTATAAAAACTTTTGTGAGGTTGATGATTTTGTCAAATGTTACTGTTGGAATGCATTTGAACTAGTGCTAAGATTTTTTTTATTATTGCTTAGATGGTTGGACAAGCTCACAGCCCACCTGGTGTTAAGTGGTTACTGGAGCCCATAGACATCCACAACGTAAATGCACCACCCACCTTGAGATATGTTCTAAGGTCTCAAGTATAGTTACAACAGCTGCCCCATCCTTCAAACAGAAAGGCATTACTACTTCATGGCAAAAATAGGCAGGACGGTGGTACCCACCTGCGTGGACTCATTAAGAGGTCTTACCACCAGTAAATTAAAAAAAAAGAATTTAAAATACTTACCTATCTCTATCAGAGCGTCCACTTCGTCCCATTCGACGGTCATCTGGAGTGGACACCTCAATTCGTACTCTCCTGCCACCTATTGTCTATTACAACAAAAGATTAACGATAACAAAAACAGTACCATTGAGGTGAGAGCCTGCTCTTCAAGCTGGTCAACTGTTTTTATTTAAAATCATTATTTATGTATTATAATGTTTTCATAATTTAAAATATTATATCACTTGATGTTGACTACCTTGAATTATTTATCTAAGTTGGTTTATTCAAATTTAAAAGGCATTGATTGTATATGCAAATTATCATACTTAGTATTGTTAAAAAAAAAAAAAAAATGGATTGATTATATGAAAATAAACAATTTCCAACTCACCAAGTCTGGCATATTGAGAGCTTCAATTAAATTTTCTCTGTCTTCAAAATCAACATATCCATGACCTTTGAGTCTGTCACCCTCTCTTGGAAGTCTTAAGTTGGTAACCTGTGTTAATCGACTCAGATTATTTACTTGATTTTTTTTACTGCATCACAACTGCACATTTGAATCACAACTGAGTATTTTGGAGCTGAAGACATTCTATCATTACATCATCAAAACAAGCACAGCAAAGATACACGAACAATCTACATTATTAGTTAATTGCATATAATGTGATTGGTTTTTAATACAAATTTTGTTAAATATATTTTTCAATTAATCACTACATAGTATAAAACAAAGTCGCTTTCTCTGTCCCTATATCCCTATGTATGCTTAAATCTTTAAAACTACGCAATGGATTTTGATGCGATTTTTTTTAATAAATAATGATTGGAGGAAGGTTTATATGTAAAGTAACATCCATTAAATAGTGGAGAAATCAATAATAAATTAGAGTTTCCGAAGCGAAGCGAGGGCGGGTCGCTAGTTCTTAATAAACAATAGTTACCTTAAGGTCAGCAAATAATTCTGCAATAGCACTTTCTTCAACATCATAAGGCAGATTAGAGATGTGTGCAATAAATGGGGGGCGATGTGGTATTGACTCATCATCAACTGCCAAGCCTCCTCGTGCTGCACGAGAAGCTGAAGGCAGTACAACTGGTGCCCGTGTATGCGATGCATATCCAAAATTTTCCGCTATTTAGAAATTTAGGACTTTTAATTTTATAATTATTCACAAAAAAGACTTCCAACAATGAAGTTTATGAGTTTTGGTATTTATGTAATTATAATATAAGTCATTTTTTCTTTGAGTAATAATTCATAAAAGACCCTCAGTTTATACAGGGAGCAAGCCAAGAAAGACTAGTCTGAATTGAGTTATGGCTGTGACCATCTCGTAAATTGTGCTAAAACTGCCAGCCATGAGGGTTTCCAATAGTAACAATAACTATGTCTCTTCCCTATCAACACAGACAAGGAATCCTAGACTAGCAATTGTACCATAATTTCTGGTTCCCTCTTCATCCTTGTTAAGGAAGCATCCGGCTAGAATGTACACAAAACACTGGTGGCTTTTACTCAGACCTTCCCGGGATGTAAAGAGTGACAAACACTCTGTGGGTGTATCCCAAGTACGAGATTAACATTGACCTGCCATTACCCCTTAAATCATCACTGGGTCAATTACGTTTTCAGATCTGATTTTTTAAATGACATTTTTTCAATCTTAACTTAATACTTTTTCACGAGATGAAAACCCATGTAATCAATTGAAATTTTCTAATTTAATCAATTTATACTAACTTTCATCTTCTGCAGCGTTCGCCCAATTGTTGGTAGTCGCGATTGTGGTCGGTTCTGCTATAATGCTTGTGATGTCGGCTTTGATCCATTTTGCCTTCTTTGACTTCTTGCCTGCAACAAATACACTATGTATAAAAATCAAAGATAGGGTGATGAAAAATGGTGACGCATATTTATAGTAAAGAACGTAGGTACTAGTCAGAGAGCCATTTTAAGAGGACATATCAGGACGTCCTTCTACAGAGAACATCTGTTCGAATGGTCTTTTTTATCAGCTTGGGTATTTTTTGAGAATTTGGTTATTTACATGTTAATTTACATGGATAATGAAAATATTATAAAAGGAAATGTGGCCACGCGGTAAATCTAAATGCCTGCAGAGGTGAAATTATGACACGTTAGCAATAATAAGTTAGGCATTTACAAGCTTACAATTGATTTGCCCGTAGAGTGATTTACTGTGACATTAGAAATACTTGTAAAATAAATTAAATTAATGAAGGAAATAGCGTAAATTTCTAACTTTTTTCACGTGCCAAAATTATATGAACTAACCTGTAGCGGCCATATTAAAAGGCTGGGGTTGGAGTTGCCACTGCACAACCCACTTTATCTACCTGTGACGCTTTCAATGAACTTTGCACAAACGGCAAAAACTACCATGAAGTCCGTAATCTACTATATTAAATAAACTTACGATAGTGCTATTAAAATGTCGGCCATTTAACACAAAATATTTCCAATTTACTAAATGGGAAACCATAAGAATAGAAGTCGTCGTGACTTAAAGGATAAGACGTCCGGTGCATTCGTATCTAAAGATGCAACGGTGTTCGAATCCCAGGCGGGTACCAATTTTTCTAATGAAATACGTAGTCAACAAATGTTCACGGTTGACTTCCATGGTTAAGGAATAACATCGTGTAATAAAAATCAAACCCGCAAAATTATAATTTGCGTAATTACTGGTGGTAGGACCTCTTAATTGTTTTTTTTTCCTACCTAAGCTGGTAGCCTTGAGAGACTATTCCAGCGTAACCTTAACTAGTAGGTGAGCTCACGGGGCTCAAACCTGACGGCGTTGCTAACACGAACCCTAGCAAGAGCCGTGCTTCGCAGAATCTACCACCGGATCGGAAACGCGACCCACTGAGAAGATCCGGCGAGAAACTCAGTGGGCTGTGTCTGAGAGTTAATTTACTCGTCGAGCCCTTCGTCGCAAGCGACGGGTTCAACGAGAACGGTGACCGGTGCTTGAAGTACCTAGAACCACCGTTAGTGGATCGGGATCCGAGATGACGTGTTTTGGGCGACGACCGACGTCGACTGCTTTCCATTGTTTCCGCAGGATCGGGAATGTAGTTACCGGCGGCCACGATGATGAGATTGGGAGAGGCCTATGTCCAGCAGTGGACGACTGTGGGCTGTTGATGATGATGATGATGATGAAACGTTTTAAGTATATGTAAAATTTTGTCATTAGTAAATAATTGTAAGGTAGCGCCCTCTGTGAATTGATATTTTAATTTCACGTACAATCCTAAATTAAAATTCACTACAAGAGCTTTCATACACACGTTAGTATTAAAAAATCTCACAGATGGCGCTGTATTAAATAGTATGTATATTTCTGTCTCATTCTTTGCTGGCTTCATCCTACACATTTTTGTATTTGTGTCTCTTACCTGTCGTTTTTTCCGTTGCATCCAGTTTGAAATCACAACGATTCTAAAGAAGTTTTCACTTCAAAAATCCGTGAACTTGTCTTAAATGTACAATTACAATAATCAATAAACAATGTCAGACGAGAAAGTTAATTCCGAACAGGAGTTCCTAGAGCTTAATAAAATGAAAGGACTCCTCCCCCTCCGAATTTCAGAATACGGCTCAATAATGAGGCTGCATTCTGAAGTTTTCAGTACCGTGCGAATAAGATAGGTCAAATACCATCTATCAACGTCATTGACAATAATTCCCAAAAAATCTTATAGAATGTAGGGATAGATTTGTTGTATGACCAGATACGACGAAACTACTATTTTAATTTAAGTTTCATTACTGGCAATATTTAATACCGTTCAGAAACTTTGCCTAACTGGTTCATTGTCTACTTACCTTTTTAAACTTACAATAAAGTTTGACATATTTTTTTGTTACTATAATACAATTAAACACTTCGTACTTTATTAAATTAATGTATGAAGTTATAAATTTGATCAGAAATAATAATGTAAACGAATTAAATTGAGACAATAAAACACAGAATAGTTTAAGTTCACGGCCAGACCATGGTTGATATTTCAAGGGCAAAGTCTTTTCATTGTTTGTTTTAACAGTCAAGGATAATTCAAGTCTATCAATAGCTGATACTGAATATTTACTTTATTGCACTATCTGTTATGATATTTAATATTATGAACATGCGCTGTTTTTTCCCCGCACAGTTGGGGCAATGCCATGCAATAGAAGGCCTAGACGGTTGTAAAACAAATAAAATTAATTTTATTGAATTTGTTTGATCTAGTAAAGGATAAAAATTTGGATAAAAGGCACGTTACATTGAGTCCATACTGGAGATGAGCATTCAGATGGCCGATAACTGGTCTTAAAGCCTAGGAAGATGTACCTATAGTTTCACAAACATCAACATGAATCGTGTCACTCTATAACAGCGGTCGGGGAACTTTTTTAATTATTACCCCAAAATATTTTTGTGTAAGTTGATGTTACCCCATGGCGAAGAACAAAAAAAAAACGAAATCGCTTCTTTTTAGCATCTTTCATATTATAGCCCTCATGATAATTTTGAAAAGAAAACAATAACTAAAAATTTAATTTATCCATCATTTATTCAATTTATGAATGTAATACCTAGTAATACATAACGGTAATAATAGTAATATGTATATGTAATATACAGTTGAGGAAAAAAAATCGCCGCCACATCGATTTACCCAGTGAAGCCATGTAAGTATACGAAAATAGCTTTTGAAACAAGACCTTTATAGATCAGCTATTTTGTCCGAAATATTTTAATAACAAAACCTTACTCATTTATATCTTTCTTTGCATACTAATAGAAAGATTTTATAAAATTTCATATGATTTTCGCTAGAAATATGAATATAATAGGAAAAAAATATATAATTAATCGTAAATACTGATATTATATTCTTATACCTGGATGCATCTATCTGAAGCGAGTTACTTGAAGAGAGCTCTTTCTCGCTGCATTTTTTACCCCGTGCGTTGGTTAATTTATATTGTATTAATGCGTGCAGTGCCAAGACCACAAATAAACTTAATTATTCTTGTCGAGATCTTTTTTAAGGTTTTCGTGTCAAGAATCACCAACGCCACATGTATTTGAGAACGCTTTTGTAACTAATAGAGTTTTAGCATTTATTCTTAAGATTATTTTAGTTTCTTAGTTTCTTATTTAAGTCTGTAAACTTCACTAACTGCAACAATCATAAATGAATAGAGGGCGCTACTTAATTGCTGCATCAGATCAAAATTCATATGAACTATCTACCTAAAATCGTTGCGTTCACCTACAATGTGTTTCGAGAGGTCTTTTATCAGAGATCACGTATTGTTCGGTTTCTGAATGAACTTGCCTTCACGTAGTTTTCTGGGCGCTAAAACATGCCCTCTTACAAAGAGGTTTGAATAGCATCTACAGCGGTAGAGAGTGGCTTAGCTATGCCCCCAGAATTTGCAAATGACTATGATTTTTTAACGGTGGTATGGTTTTTTGTGAGTTTGCACAGTTAGCACCACCCTGCCTATTTCTAGAGAGAGGCAATGATAAATTCAGGTTTGAAAAGTGTTTCAATCGTTATACTATCCGATCGAGACTTTGGACTCATGTCTCAAGATAAGTGATCACGTTGTGATATCCACTAACTTTTGGTAACCACTTTACACCGGGCGGGCTGCAAGCTCGTTCTCCCACCATCTATCAATTAAAGTAATTTAATAAGAGATGGTGACCATTCAACCTTATCAAAAATGCTTAGTATAAGTAGGTCATTCTTTATATCTTTTTCATCTACAGTTTACTTCGTCTAAGCGGCGTGACACGATAACCCTCTTATCGTGGCCGCCGCTAATTACCTACATATCCGACCCAGGCGACGACGGGGCAACGCAAAGCCGCCGTCGCCCGAACATGTCTTGTCGGATCCCCCGGATCCACTCTCGGTGCTTTTAGGCTCTTCAAGTACCGATCACCGTCCAGGTCTAACTCGCCGATTACGACGAACATTTTGTGGAACGAGCTAACCCATAGTCAGCCCATTTTTTTGTATTACATACTTATATACTTTCGGTGCTTTTACGCTCTTCAAGTACCGGTCACCGTCCAGATCGAACTCGCCGACTACGACGAACATTTTGAGGAACGAGCTAACCCATAGGCAGCCCACTTTTTTCGCTGGATCTTCTCAGTGGGTTGCGATTCAGATCCGGTGATAGATTCTGCGAATCTTCTCTTGCTAGGGCTAGTGTTAGTAAATTCTCTTAGCTTGAGCCCGTGAGCTCACCTACCCGTCCGAGCGAAGCTGGAACAGCCCTAAGCTACCAGTGCATAGGTTGGAAAAAAATAATGATTAAATTTCAGGTATCAATTCAGTTATTTACTGCGCTATAATCTAGGTATTGAGGTAAAAATAGTCAAATATAAAACACTCCATGAAAATTGGTCCGAATGAGGTAAACAGGGCTACTTTTGTAGCTTTTGAGAGATCAAATATATTGTTATAAAAGTATATATATTAGGTACATAATATTGAATTTAGATTTAAATTTGTTTTTTTTTGTGCATTCCACAATGTAAAATTTAGGAATTGTGAAATGTTTTTTATCGTTTCAGACGCATAGACATATTCATGAAGCCCAGGGACATCACAAAGTGAAAGTGAGGTACATATGTACGGAGGATTTTAATACGTATATTAAATATTATCTACCTAAGATGCTTAATTTATCTGTTCACATTACAAAAAGAAATATATTCATAATTTCTGCTTTCAATTTTATTCATCGAAATTCATGCCGCTTATGGATCTTTCAAGCAGGTGTGAGCCAACAAACACTTGGCCAGGATTTAAAATAAATTACTGTCTTTTGCATCGAATACAAAAAAAACACGTCTAGGCTGATCAGATGAGATAGGTATTATTAAGCTTAGTTGAGCAGCGAGGACGCTGCCGCTTCTGTCTAGCCGGTGAATCGAGTGGGCCCACCGTGCCTGCCTCCGTAACGCTAGATGGCATTCAAGTCGCACCCCGTTACCGAGCGGTCGTGTGTTCCGTAGCTTGTCGTCGTTCTAACTTTCCGCGTGCTCCTCTCGTTCGTGAAGAACGTTACTATTGGAAGTTGCTTTTTGTTTGAATTTATTTAACCGTCAAACTCGGTTTCGACTTTAATAGCCCACCTTGCAACGCCTTTACGCTTGTAAATTTTCTTTCGAGGGGTCGCAAAACAGTGTTGGTGTGATAAAAAAAATATGTGATTTGTGTTGTGTTTATGTTTGCAATGTGTGGTTTAGTGTAGACGTGGGTGGTTCACGATGGGATACACTACGAATGGCGCGGGTCGGGCAGCGCACGAGGCGCTGTTGGCGCGACAGGATGCTGAGCTAAGGCTCATGGAAGCTATGAAGAGAAGCCTCCAGGCAAAGATGAAAAGCGACAGAGAATATGCTCTGGCGCTAAGTGCTGCGGCTGCGCAGGGGCAGAAGATGGACAAATGCGAAGAGCTAAATGGTAAATATTGTATTTATTATACTCGTGTTTCGCTATCATGCAGGCCTCTCAGTCAAAAGGTTGGGGCTTCGAGACTGGACGGCGTGATCAGGGGTCAAAATAATATAGTAGTGCTCACGAATGGTAACAGTTGGCAAAATTTATTTAAAAATGTTTTTTTTTTTTTTTTTAATTTATGGGTACCAGAACAATTAAATTAATCTAAAAATCTTTTTTAATAATCTTGGTTGTTTTCAATGGAAAACACAAAATAGATTTAAATTTGGAAGATTTTTGTGGGGGCTCTAAAAAGGCTTGGATGGATTGTGTGAAAGAGAATACGCGAGAGAAGCAGAGATAACGTGTGGTAGGCCTGAATGGAAAATGGACATACTACGCCGACTCCACATAGTGAGATAACGGCAAAAAGAAGAAGAAGATATTTTGTAATTGTTTGATTCTGTCATAACAAAATTACCTTTTTTTTTTCAAATTCCGATAACACGTAAATTCGTCTTGTTATTATGTGGCGATTATAATATTGTAAACTATTGCAAACCAAATGAAGAGAATATAACGTGTGATCTTTTAATAAGTCTTATAACATTTATTATTAGAAACTTCAATATAATGTGACGACAGTTGAAATCTGGCCAAAATCCATTTAATAGCCCTTGGTTAGTCATTTGATAGTTGATCGAAAATTTATAGAAGACTAGAAACTAGCTCTAAGGTAGGGCTTGCAATCTAAATCAATCTCAATCATCTTTTGTTCTTTGTCTTTTACAATGTCTTCGAGATTTACGGTTATTAAGAAATTTAAAATTATAAAGCGAAACCTCGTAGAGTTTATCTGAAAATCAGACATTATGTTGAACGGTCCCGGCCAAATATCGGTACAGCAGGTACCTGGCATAGCCCTAATTCTGAATATCGATGCAAAATCATAAAAATAGACAAAAACTTGTCCATCCCGATGGTCCGGTTGTTTCGACGGTTTCATTAGATTGTGAATAGGTATATTCTCGAAACGTTTCGATAACTTATTCTGATTTTAATACTAGGAAGGGATGAACGATCAGTTTGCGGGATGTAGTATGCAAAAATATATGTGTAATGTGTTCATTCTATTCGATTTGTCGATGCCATACGCAGAAGTGTTATCCTGGATATCTCAATAAGCTTCTGCATTAATCCTCGGCAGGCTTTTGGGATGGAGGGATGGGTGGTAGCTTGGAGACGGGAAGGGTCGTGTATGGGCTTAACAAGGAAGGGAGAGGTTTGCTAACAACTACTGCAGTGCTTTCGGAGAAGCGCTCATAGCTCAGGGGTAGCTGTTCCGCAAGTGTATCTATAACAGGATCATATCCTACAGATGCGGGGTCGCAAGAATTGGGTTTGAGCGAACACCACTTGATCTACTAGTGGAGTAAACTCTTCCTTTGTAATAAGGTAGCACTTATCAAATGGTAACCATTTTGACGATGACGGTGGCCGCAGACTTATCAGTAAATATGGACAACTAAATTATGGCCCAACACAATATTTTTTTCATTAATATACCTACGCTCGAGAAATTCAATCAAACAATTTAAAGGGTGGAAAGGAAAGTGTGTTTCAAAATTGCTTCTTGAAAATTTCGTATTCTCCTCTAGGATCGGTGATAGCGGCAGCATGGCGTACCATGACCGAGGAGTGGGATAACACAAGTCGTCTCATCAAATTGAATGCCGAAGCTCTCGAGTCTCGAGCTCTTGATCGCCTCACCACACTGATGACAGAACGAAGGAAGGCGCGCAAAGTGTACCAGGAGGATCATACAAAAATCTCTTCTCAGTTCACACAGGTTTGAATTTAGCTTTTTATTTATTTTATTTGCCTGCCTATTTATTTCGCGTGCTCTAGCTCAAATTTTCAGTTGAGCTGTAACTGTGTCCATTCACGTACGTCATTTAAAATAAGACTATTTCCGATCACGTCGTGTAGATAACTGTTGCTCATTCATTTAGTATTCTAATCACGGCTGCCTAAAACTCTATCAAACAGCAGTCACGTACATATTAGTTTAGTGACTTCGGTAATTTTGTACCGATTGGGTGGGGTAAAGAACTTTTAATGACTCGGTAATTTTTTCGAGAAGTTTTAAAAAGTTGATTGAACAAAGAAGCATAATCTGTATTGAGTTGGTTGGTTGAGTAATTACCATTACAATTAATATGAAGACCTACAATTCCACATTCCTCCATTCAGTTATCTGTGAATGGTGTAAACTCTAAATTAAGTATAAGCGAAATGTGGCGAGGTCACTTTGCTGCCAGCTAAAATGTGTCCAACGCCAGTGGATTGAGTACTGAAAACGGTTATTTTTTTTTGCATTCATTTTAAATTTATACCAGTTTCTGACAGACATTTGGATGCTAAATGATTAGATAACGTTATGGGCACAGATCTCGTTTAGTATTGGGATGTTGCCAACTTTTTCATCGAGATGTTAATAAAACATGTGATATTGGCGCCGTCATTCCTACTCCTCGACAAAACTGTTCGCGTATTGTCTTTGTAAAATGAGGGTACGAATCATTTATTTCCCTGAGGTTTGCTTACAATATAAATCAATAATTATGGTGCCGCATTTAGCGTTTCGCATCAACAGGTTTTGCTTTGTAGTCAGACGGTATGACTAAATGTTAGAAAGTCGCGCCGTTGCCGCGTTGCCTTGAGTCGCCAAGTGACAGGAGGACATTAGTATGCCAGGGAACGCACTTCTCTAAATGAATGACTGAATTTAGATTTTAAAGTAATTAACGTTTTTGATTTGATGATATGATGATATTACGTAAATATCTAAAACTAAAAATGTTAACGTCAATTTCTCACCATGCGAAGGCGACGGTAATTAAGTTGTTTCCCGGAAATTATACTATTTTCTTGAATTATAAAAAAAAGAAGTTGATTGCTCGTTTCTTTATATGATTGAATTGAAATTTCGCCTATTTTTTTGGCATGTTTCTGGTATCACATATTATCAACTAATTATAGGTGTCGTGTGTTTATTTTAATACTAATGATAGACGATAGTGAATAACTTTTCTGTTGATGTTCTAGTGATTAAAGAAAAAATTAAAATGAATCGTAAAAGTGCTTTTAAAACTGTAGACAAGGATGTAAATTATAATTTTGTGATTTAAAATCAAGTCTTGTAAAGTAAAGCGTCGCGATTGGCCGCGCGGCACCTGTCACCGTTCATTGGCCCTGTGCTTACGCCTCAGGCGCGTGCACATCCAATTTCTTATTTGATTTTTATTTTTAATGCGATTATTTCCACGAAGTTTTTGCTGATAATATGAAGATTCCATTGGATTTAATACAACAAAGAAAAGCAATAATTTACACATCGGTATCCGCAGTTCTTGGTTAAGTTGCGTAAGAATATATTATTTTAATCTATAGCCCGTGTGAGTTGTTTCATTTTGTATAAACATATAGCTAACTCAAAACGAGCGCGTGTAGGAGTGTAACCATACGTCGACTTGTAAGTCGTGTTTGCAATCTCGGCCGTGATCCGTTTAAAACGGATGTAATCTAGATACGACTTTTACAATTCTCGTGGTGAACAGGAAATCGAGAAATCATCCACGTCTATCAATACTAGGTACAATATATATGGGTGAATGACCAGTTGAGAAAAGTAGGTTAAATAGCAAGAGTTTTACTCTGTAGTGCCTAAAATAATTTTCAGGATTTTTGTCTTCTGCCAAATCAACAACCAACGTCGATAATAACTGTATGTTGAAAACATTATAGTTACTGCCAAAAATGTCCAATAAACATCTCATTGCTACTTGATTGTTGAAACTTGAAAGTTGAAAATCGAAACCTACCTTCTTTTTTTGTGAGCACGCTTTGAATGATGTCGCGGGCTTTCTACTTTCATTGGAACTCAATAAAATTCATCTTATCTTAACTTCCTTCTATTCAAAAAACCGATAGTAGTAATTAAATAATATTTAAGTATGAGTAGTATGACAGAAACATTTAGTTATTTACTCAATTTTATAACTAAATAGATAAAACTTAATTTATATTCAGCAAGTTTCATATGATATGTGTAATAACCTATTTCGGAGGATTATCTCATGAAGTCGTATTATAATAATAGTGTATTCTGTTCGACATGTTCGCTGTTTCAATCAGGTCACGCGTACAAAATAGCCAGCAAGTGTTATAATAACAACTGGACCTTGCTCCAAACAAACATCAAGAATGTAGGAAAAAAATTTAAGGACGCGGACGGATGATATGTCTTTAGCGAACGGTTCGTGATGTTTTCTTGAAACTTGACACTATGCCAATACATAATGCTGATTACGTTAGTGACGTAACCTCTGCTACTGAACTAGCACTGAACTGTTTCCAATATGACTATATGTTTTTTGTGCTTAGTAGAACTAAGCAACTAACCTCAACTAAGAACTATGTACTTAAATTAAAAGAAGAAACGATGTTTCATTAACAATATATGTAATAAAAATTATTGCGAAGACAGCCGTATCTTTGCCCCTTAAAATGTCAGATATTCATAACAATAAAATTATTACAAGAAAGATTACCTACATCGGGATTAGCTATATCATTTTTTATGGGTCGTGGTTATGGTGTTCAAAGTTTTTAATTGATATAATAACCATCAAAATACATGAAGATCTATTTTTAAACTAAAAGTCGGATCGGATTCCCAAGTTTTTTTTAGGCCTATAAAATATGCTGAAGTTATGCCGGCTCCCGTGTCGAATGTCTAAATTACAGCAATTAATATTGATCCATTGTCTTCTATTGAAACTGGTTGTTATTTTAAAAGTTGACGCCTATGTGGAACTTTTATTGATTGTAATCGTCTTAAATAGGTATGAAATCGCTAATATTCGAAAAGACCAATGAATTCATTTGTATAATGAAAAAAAAAAAGATTTCAAATTTTCAGATAGGGATAGTTTTTTTTTTATTGTTTTGATGGGTGGACGAGCTCACAGACCACCTGGTATTAAGTGGTTACTGGAGCCCATAGACATCTATGACGTAAATGCGCCACCCACCTTGAGATATAATTTCTAAGGTCTCAGTAGTTACGACTGCTGCCCCACCCTTCAAACCGAAACGCATTACTTTCCCCCCTTTGCCTTTTCATGGGTTCTGTCTCATGCGAGGTTCGGACGCGGGTTGTTGAGCGACAGGAGGTTTTAGTCAGTTCGACTCCGATATGCCCCGCCCTCCATCCCCAGGGGAGGGCGGAAGTCCGGCGATTTCCTCCTGACCAAAAAAAAAAAAAGTTGTTGAGTGTTATTTTTGAAGAAAAATATTTTACGCGTCCGTGACGACGTAAAATATTCGAAACATTGAAAATAATCAAATAAAAATAATTAAACGCGAGATTAAAGCGTAAAAGTAGTCTTAATTATGGGGAATATAGTCTCCAAAGAAACTGAGACTAGACTAAAGACAGGGGTAGAGTTAGTTATTCGCGAAGACAAATTTTTCATTTTGCTCATTTTGCAGCAATTGATTGTCTCTTTTTCAGTATTGTCATAATTATTTTCACACCCACGGGCGGAAATGACCACATGCTAAGTTAGTATTAAAAAATTCTTGTGTTTTTTTGTTGTTTATGTATATATTTTCTGGAATGATGACGAAACGGAGGTCTAATGAAAAGTTTATCGGGGCTTGTAGCTAATATTTATATTATTATAATATATTATATTGGCCATTTAGAAGCCGATCAATGAATACCAATTGTTGCGCAACATTCGGAATCGACTCATTAGTGGGCCAGACGCGAGGAAAGTGAAATCAACTCGCGATAAGTGAAAGTTGCGCATGACAGTTATCTAATTTTGAGTTGATTTGAAACTATATTTTGGCTGATGGTACAAGCACATGGCCTGATACAATGGGCTAAACTTTTTGCCAGACAGGTGTGTTTGTCACTTAACTCTTAAACAGCTGGACCGATTTTCTTTAAGATTTCGTGTGTTTAACTGGGTCCTTGGATTGTTTAGCTGTGTCCGTGTAAATGGATTCTAAGCATTTTATAGATGTGTCCACTGATAGTTTGGATTCACAACTGAACCCGATAAGTGGTGTTGCGATCAGATTCCGTGATCGGCTTTTATTTTATTTTAAACAATGGGCAATGTCTATCGGGCCCACTACTAGTACATTATAGAACTCTAAAAATAATGTAACATATTTAATGTTTGATTTTTTGTATTGTTTGTTACGCCCTCTGAAGATGAAACGATTGTCATCATGGCAATATTTTAATTAAATGAAAAATTTGGAAAGAACGCGTGGCGTTTTTATTGCCCCATGCAAGGAAGTTTTTATGAGGAACAAAAGACAAAGAGGCCTTATCGAAATTGCATACCGAAGTTGACTCAATAATCATGTCTTTGTCATGGTCGCCGTAGATAGACTGGAGGCTTGGAATTTCCTTTTAGCTTCGATAGCATTATCTGCCTTGTGTGACATTAGCCGAGCAAATATCAAGGTCGTTGTAAATAGTTCGAAACCTTTACTTCCACAATATATCCACAATGTAACGCGTAGTGTTTTAGCATAATTCATTATTACGTTATCCTTAATGATTCATTTATTCCGCAGGTTTATTAAGTAAACTATAAACAAATTATATTACGAATCTGAGTTTAAAAAATTCTTCCTCCTCATTATTACTTATTTTCATTTTTGGTTTGTTTTGGTACTTGTGACCTTGTGAAGACCTTTGGCTTTGCGTTATACAGAAAAAGTATACATTACATTAACTTTTACACATTAACTATACGTGTT